CTCTTGGACAACATAATTCTCTCAAATCCCATTCCTCCAAGAAATGTTCCCACAACTATCTTCTTCTCATGTTTTCTTAGCTAAATGAATAGCTTTATTAATTMTTTATTTGGTATAATATAACTTCCTTTGGTCATAAATGAGTTTAAAGTGATTTTAACAGCTGACTGAAATGCCAGATGGAAACCGTCTTGGTAGTAATGACTTATTTACAGCAAATATCGTCTAAATTTAGTACTCTCCCCTATTGCTGGTATTTTAATTCTGTTTCTCTGGTCTTAACTATGTGGTTCTCCTGGCCCCATTCCCAATAATGTTCAGTTCAGTGTTATTGTCGTTTATTTTGTGAGCACTTTTTTTCCTGATATATTAAATGAGATTGTTTTCAATGATTATAACCCTTTCCAGAGCACAACAAGATTCACAGAACTGGTAAAAAGTTCCTTGTCCACCTAACCTTAGAAATCTTAGAAACACAACAGCTCATGGTGCAATTTGCTTGCATTTTGTGTAATTTTAGTAGATCTGTGATTCCTGAGAACATCTTGGCTCATTTGTGTGCCTGTTACCTTCACATGAGAAATTCCATAGAAACTCCTCAATTAAAGATTCATTTCACACCTCTCTTGTGAATTACTTSTATTAAGGACTTTGTATTTAAATTAAAACAAATCATTTTGAATCACCATTTTCTGTGAATTAAAAGGTGTCTTTGCTACAGCGTTGTGTATGATATTATATAATCATCTTTGGAATGACCCCAAATTTCCMATATAAATATTTCACAATTACACTATGTTTATAACATGGGGAGAGCATTAAGAGAGAGTTCCAGAAGTCTGGGCAGTGTGTAAGTCATTAATTCTTTAGCAAAGACTTGTGCATATAAAGTAACACTCATTTTACAAAGCCACACACCCATTTTTCATACTTATGAAGGAACATCATCTTATGTGCATGCAATTTATGACTGGCTAAGGATAATGGCTAAAAATATCAAGCTATTTACAGATAATCATCTAAGAAACTATTGCTACCCGGTCATGGCTGTTCAATCATATCTTTAGGCATAGCAGTTCTTCTTTACAGTATTATTTTTTACTACTTTTTCAATGCTTTTCTATCAGTTTAAAATACTAAGAGTATTTAATATCAGTAATATTTCATTTTAGTGATTTTTTTCAGACCCAAATTATTATTTCATCCTTACCTTGGTATTTATCTGATTAGCTCTGAAAAGAGGAAGCCAAAGTGCTATCAGATCCTCCCTAATTCTGTGCTGAATTTGAATTACTTTAATGTACAGACCACTTTTAAAGTTTTATATTGCCTAAGCTAGATAGAGTCTCACTGTGCAGGCAGACAGTGTTTTGTCTGAACTATGCTAAGTAATGAGCTATCTTTTAGGAAAAGATTAGAGAGACTTGAAATCACAAGATACAATAACACTGAACTGCACATTATTGGGAATGGGGCCAGAGGAACCACATGGTGAAGATCAGAGAAACAGAATTAAACTACCAGTAAGAGAGGAGAATCCTAAATTTAGATGATATTTGCTACAAGTGAGTCATTACTACCAAGACAGTTTCTGTCTAGATCTGTTCTCCCCGCACCTCCCAGTCCCTGCTCTGTGCACAGGCAGTGACCCTCAGTTTATGGGTTTTCTTCAGCCTACATGCCTGTATCCTAAAGAGCAGATATGTTAAACTCTCTATTTAAGAAGACATCTTCCTTCCTTCTCTCTTCCTGTACTTCTCTTTGCCAGTGCTCTGAAGACAAGTCTAAATGGTGACTGAGAAGTGGAAAAAACAGTACAGGTCTGAGGTTTATAGCTATCTTTGACAGGTTGAAAGATGGATTGATTTACCTAGTGATTAGGACTTAATAATTGAAGTATTTTTTATAGGCTTCATTTTACTTGGGTAAAATTCATCCCCACTGGTTGGCATGAGCAGGAAAGTACCTTTTTATTTCACTTTGCTTTACAGTATCCTTTATACATTCATCACTGCAGCTCTCTTTGTTAATGAGGAAGATGAGTGAATATTTCAKATTGCTCACTTAGGAACCTAACTTACATTACAGGTGTCGAAGTCTAAGACAGAAATTCAGTTATATCAKTCTTTATGACCTATATTTTTTCTCCATAAAGTTTGCTAATTGCTTATCCAAAACATTTCTTTGAGAAGCAATGCACCTTCCTCTTGCCAATGGTCTCTCATATTGCAGGTTTTAAATATGGAGCTCCCTAAATTCATTATGACCTTATTCAAACRTAAGGCCAGAATTGAGATTAAGCAGAAATCAGGGCAGCATTTATCRCTCATTTAGAAGTACCACTCAAAGTGATGAAGACACTCATCCCACAAGTGCCTAGGTCCAAACCTGGACCAAATACCATGAATATCTTTGTATCATACCTTTTCTATTAGCAGTTCTATGTCATGGAGGCTGAACATACCCTGTCAAACAATTAATTAGGCTTTTGGCTCACCGTCCAACATGATTTTTCCTGTAAGATTTCCATTCTGGGCAAGGAGCAAATCAGATGAATTAGTGTAGTCATCAACGATCTGCTCTGTGATCTGCCTTCCCAGAGAATACCCTGAATCTTCTTTGTCATCAGGCAGGATGGACATATAACCACAGCACCAGTGCATGTCTGGTCCCAGGATGGGACTCTACCAACTGTATGGAGCAGACAGAAGCCTCAGCATATATTCCAGGTCATGGAAACGCTGACTTACTTACATTTATGGTCACATTATCACACTATTGCAATTAGTCCAAAGTGGTCTAATAACTGTACCAATAATATGACACTAGAAATACTGTACTTTCCACATCCTTAGTTATTATCAAAATGCGATATGAACTCTATTACCATGATTTGATAAATATTTAGGAGCAGATCTTTCAGAGGAATGATTCACATTTTTATAATTAACTTGAATGATAAAAAAGAGATTTGAAAAGATTTAAAAACCAAATGTGATTAATGGTATATCATATATTTTAAATGGGAATACTAGGCTTCTTTTTAAACTTATAAATTATATTTTCTTTTTGAAGTTTKTTTAAAACAGTCAAGCTTTCAAACATTTAATGAATTGATAAGATCATTCTTCAAGTTGACACAGAAACTACCCAGTCTAATCAACGTGTAAGTAAGTGCTGCTCATCAGTCTGAGTCCCAATCTACCAAAYTACTCAAGCCTATCAAGTTAGACTTACAGCTAAGCAAGTATGAATTATGCTTTGCTGCATGAAGATACTAGTTTAATCTGATAACTTAATTTGATCCTTTACTTAATTCTATCACTGTGGTTTTCTATCCTTTGGTACCTACTCCTGATTTTGGGCTTGATGATGGTTAAGTGTAGACTTGGCTCATTTTCGGCTGCATTTATTGTARGGAGGAGTGAATTTTTACTTTCTAGTTGTCTCATAGTTTGAATGGCTGGCACACCAGCTACTGCTTACCAGGCTGAAACGAGGGAGATGGGCATGTATCTGAGTGCAAGAGTAGGCTTGCTGGGTTGACACAAAAAGCACAGCTTGCCCACAAAACAYAGCAAATTCTGATGCACTCCAGCAATGGATGAGGTTTGTTACTTTTACATGCCTTACTATCACACAGACCTTCCAGCCTGTTACTCCTCAGGGCTTTTGCTGCCTAAATATTGCACTGCTCCTTAAAGTGTCTTAACCTGGGAATGGGTAGGATGCATCCAGCATTGCTGAGGGGGCTAGCTGATGTCATTGCAAGACTGTGCATTATCATCTTTAAAAGATCATGTTGAGTGAGAGAGATTCATAATGGTTCAAAAGAAACAAAAAAAAAAAAAAAAGAAAAAGCAAATGCCACCCCTATCTTTAAACATGATATGAAAAAGGATCAAGAAGCAGAGGCTTATCAGTCTCATCTCAACAGTCTCCCACAGAGTTTTATAGCCAAACTGAAGAGGTCTGGACTGAAATGGTGGACTGCAGGACGGGGAGAGAAATGGTTGGGCTCTCAGACCAATATGAAAATTATCCAAGGTAGTGGCTAATAACTAGAAGTCTAGCCAATGGTCACTTAAAAGTAACAAGCTCAGAGTGAATAAGACACACCTGTGCTGTTCATCTACCCATTATCCAGTCATCTTCACACTCACACCTGCAGGTTAGAGGTCTACATGTGAGTTAGTAACTAGCTATATCCTATACCTCCTTAGATGAAAAGATGTTAATAGGCCCGATCGATTCAATCACAACCATAGTATCGATTAGTATCGAATAGAATCGATCAGTATTGATTAGTATAGATTCGATACTAACCATAGAAGACCAGGCTAATCAGTTGTGCTGGCCAAGGGCATGTGGAACACTGCCTAGATGAATCTCCATGACTAGGAAATACATAAACATGACTTGTGCCTTCTAAGCARCAGGAGAGAATCTCTGCCTGTTTTTTGATGTCAGGATATATCTGTTCTATATTTACATCTSTCTATTTCACTCAGTAGACCAGTGTATCTTACTGCTACTGAATGTAGTAAAATATGTATATTAGTAAATTGGGAATTGCTCTAGAATTCACCTGGTCTCTTTTTAGGACATCTGCTTAAATGTATCAGTCTCAGGAATATTAGAAAGTGAAGAGAAGCAAAGAGATCTCGCCATACATGTTTTACTGTTGTATTTTCTTAGAAAATAACTATTTAGTATCAATAGCTACTTACATAAGAAAGAAAAATTTGTGCAGTGACATTTCCTGCATAACTCTGCAATAAAGAAGTGCTTCTAATTTTTACAGATTTAATGTTTAAATATGAAATGGAAAATATACTGCTAGTATACTACTACTACTTACTGAATGGCAGATGGACTATTCAAATATGGCTATTACAGTGAAACATTAGCATGTGTCTAGCCCTTTATACCATGAAAACTCCTTGTACTCATTAAAATGTTTCCAAAATGCTGAACAAGGAAAAATTATTTAGACTTACCCACATTTAATCTGCCTGTGACCTCCCCATTTGAATTGCGAGCATTCACAGTCACATTGTGAGTAGACTGGAGAAGCAGCGATGAGTCCTAAAGCATGGAGAAACAAATGCAGACTCAGCAAAAGTACGGAGAAAAAATGCAGATTCAGCAAAATAACTAGAAYTGTAAATAAATTTCATAGTTTAGTCTAGTGTTTATATTAACTCAATCGCTAAGAACAACTTTACAATTACAAAACCCTCCACAGATATAATCAAATATTTTGAACAAGTCCTTCTGATAATCTCCACTTATACATTAGACTTAAAATTAAAGTTAAAAAGTATACTTCCTGAGTGACCAAGATCTATGATTTGCTCAAAGAATAGTTGCTAATACTGCATCTTTTGAAAAGAATGACTTAAGTCCTATATTTAATATGTTTCCCTACAAATTTGAGATTCCTAGAAGGCAGACATTTAAGTGCTAGTACCTTGCACATTTTGTGCCTTTATAGTATTACAGTATACTGTATAGTATTACAGTCAGAAGAATGAATTTGAACTCTACCTCCTCTTTAGTCTATAATTTTGACTTGATTTAGACATTTGGCACTCACTCTGCTGGCAAGGAAACTCAGTTTTTGATAGGGGAAGTGGCAGACTGACTAGCTCAAACGTGACTTCAGTAGAYGTCAGTTCAGATGAAAATGGGTCAGCCTGAATTAAATTGTCTTCCTGCCTCGCACCCTTGTGGAGCTATGTCAGCAGACTGAGCAGCAATACCTGCTCATCTGYGTCCCCATGCTATGATTCAAGCCTCCAAGCCTTTATAGGTGTCAGGTTATATAAGGAAAAATGTAAAATCACATGCTGGGTACAATAGGACATACATAGGAAAAGTTTAAGTACAAGTTAGAAACAAAAACAAACCCCAGAGTTGCATATTTGTAACAAACAGAGCATGATCAACAGGAGGAAGACGTTTTGGCCATTCAGTGCTGAGCTGAATGAGACATATAGTTGAGCGAGACAACTGCTAAGTCCCTTGTGGTACATGTCCATGCTACTCTTGATTTGTTGCAGGAAAGCCAACAAATTAGGCAGCAACTTTCAATGCTTTCTCAGACCCTGAGATTGCAAGAACCCTAATATGACCAAATCCATCAAAGGCTGAACATGAACACCGCAGATCTCTGATCTCATTCACTTCTCTGCCAGGGCTCATGAGAATTTCAGTGAATTTGAGGAATATCAGAATATTCAGGAGAAAAGATTACGTTGAGGGAAGGGTATCTTCATGACAAAAGAAAAGACAAGAAAGAGAAAAGACAAGACAAGACAAGACAAGACAAGAGAGTCATGCAGAGGGGATATAACTATAGTTTCCTTGAAAGGACACTAGCCACGTGTCATTTCTGTAACTCTGTAAAGGCTTCTAAGATTTCCCTTCTGAACCTCTATTCAAGCTCCATCCTTCCACCCAGCCTACTAGCACAAACTTCAAATATCTTGCATCAGTATGATAACAARTAAGTGAGGTGTTCTGCAATAAGACAGGGCAAAACACACCTGGCAATAAGCACCTGCAGCTGGCTGCATCCCAGCCAGGAAACTTGCAGGGCAATCAGAGTATGCCTAATCATCATCTTTTGCTGCTTACAGAAGGCAGGGTATGCTAAACGGGTGTAATTGGCATCATCACTCATCACTATCACACCTCACAACACTCCAGACTAGCTATGGTAGAAAAATTCAAATTGCATGTCATTCTTACACCACAGCAAGTGCAGAACTACTTCACAAAAACATCCAGATGGGATAACTTATGGTGTGGTATTATGCTTACCAATTTCCTCCCACATTAGTTTCCCGTTCTTATTGCCCAATGTTTCCCTTAAAATCTCTGTATTTTGGGCCCTTCTGAATCTCCCTGCTAAATCCTGGTTCTGAGGAGCAGATGAGGACAGGAGTGAGTTCATCTTATGTTTTTCTTAGACTAACTAGCTGAATTGTCTTTAAATGAAGCTCATTTAGAGAGAGACAGTCCTGGCCCTTGTCCTCACTTTATTTTAAGTATGAGAGATTAAAGGCTGAACATCTTCATCCAGATCAGCAAATTGCAACAAATTGGTAGACTTAACAAGAGTGGTGAGGGAGACTGCTTTTGTAGCACAGGTACATTCATATTGATAATACATTTCACAGAATCACAGAATGACTGAGGTTGGAAGGGACCTCTAGAGATCATCTAGTCCCACTCCCTCCTCCAGCAGGGACACCCAGAGCACGGGGCACAGGGTGGCAGCCAGGCGGCTTTGGAAGATCTCCAGAGAAGGAGGCTCCACAGCCTCCCTGGGCAGCCTCTTCCAGGGCTCTGGCACCCTCACAGGAAAGAAATTCCTCCTCAAATTTCCATGTGTTACTGACTGATCACAACTGGTAACGTATTTCTAAATGCTCATTCTCTATCTTGAAATGAATATGTATTAGCTAAGATGCAAAGGAATTGCCCACAACTCTGTTGGACTCATAATGAAGGCATAAACTTGTAATAGGCTCCAGAGATGATGCACAGCAAGTCGATTTTCTGTTGCATATTTTGTTAGCACTTTGGAGACCTCATTAGGTGAGAAAAGCTGTTCAGAGACTGCAAGAAGAAAACTATTAATGCAAGGAAGAAAGCTGCTAGGATAGCCATGAGTGGCCCAATTCGCTAACAGAGAAACTTAGGAGAAGAAATCATAACAAATAAGCAATTTTATGAGAATAAATATGTACACAGGGCACCCAAGAGACCGAATTGCAGCTTAAATTAAATTAAATCTCTATAGAGTTAAAATTTAAGTCTCTATAGAGTTAAAATATGTTAAAAAGCAAACAAACAAGAAAAAAGATCTGATGAGTTATCAGTTCATAGGGGGCAAGACATCCAGTAGCATGAAGGCTCTAATTAATGTACTCCACTAATGATCACAATGGGTCATAAGAGAGCTAAGATTGTACTAGATGTTGTCACACTTCTTTTCTTATATTGCACTAAATGCGTTAAGAGCTAGAAGGAATCCTAAAAGTAGCTCAGCATTGTATAAGGACTTTTTCAGCAGAGGGAATTCTTAAGTATCAGCTGTGCTGRTTTTTAAAAAGTCGCAAGTCTTATTGGATAAACAATGTCAAGGGAAATTCTTTTAAGCACATAAACAGTGTTCCCACTGCCTGCAATACAAAATGGAATAGAGCACAAGGAACAAAAAGGAAATGTAAATTTAGTAATGCAATTTCATACTCTAAATAAGAGCTTTTCCTGAAATATTTGTTGTGGAAAGAGGGAAAAAGAAAACTTAATAGAAATAACAGATCACAGAATGGCTAAGTTGGAAGGGACCTCTAGAGATCACCTAGGCCAACCCCCTGCTCCAGCAGGGACACCCAGAGCACGGGGCACAGGGTGGCAGCCAGGCAGGTTTGGAAGATCTCCAGAGAAGGAGACTCCACAGCCTCCCTGGGCAGCCTCTTCCAGGGCTCTGGCACCCTCACAGTCAAGAAGTTCTTCCATGGAGATGGAACTGCCTGTGTTTCAACTTACACCCATTGCCCCTTGTCCTATCCTTGGCCACCACCGAGAAGAGTTTGTCCCCATTTTCCCTATATTCTCCCATCGGAYACTTATGCATATTGATCAGATCTCCTCCCAGTCTTCTCTTCTCCAGGCTATAACAGACCTAGTTCTCTTAGTCTTTCCTCATATGASAGATGCTCCAGTCCCTTAATCATCTTTGTCCCTCTCCACTGGACCCTCTCCAGAAGCTYCACGTCCCTCCTATACTGGGGTGCCCAGAACTGTCCCCAATACTCCAGGTGCGGCCTCACCAGGGCTGAGCAGAGGGGCAGGATCCCCTCCCTTGACCTGCTGCCAACATCCTCCTGATGCAGCCAGGATCCCATTGGCCTTCTTGGCCACGAGGGCACTGCTGCCTCRTGGTTAACTTGGTDTCAACCAGGACTCYCAGGTCCCTCTCCGTGGAGCTGCTTTCCAGCAGGTCAACCCCTAATCTGTGCTGGTGCCTGGGGTTATTCCTCCCAGGTGCAGGACCCTGCACTTGTCCTTATTGAACCTCATGAGGTTCCTCTCTGCCCAACTCTCCAGCCTGTCCAGGTCCCTCTGGATGGCAGCACAGCCCTCCGGAGTGTCGGCCACTCCACCCTGCTTTGTATCGTCCACAAACTTGCCAAGGGTGCACTCCGTGCCCTCGTCCAGGTCATTGATGAACAGGTTGAACAGCACTGGGCCCAGTACTGACCTCTGGGGKACACCACTGGCCACAGGCTTCTAACTGSACTCAGTCCCATTTATCACCACCCTCTGAGCTCTGCCATCCAGACAGTTCTCGATTCAAACTGTCTCACCTCAACGTCCATTCATCTAAGGTTGACTGGCCTGCAGTTTCCCAGCTCCTCCCTCTTGCCCTTTTTGAAGACTGCAGTGATGTTGGCTCTCTTTCAGTCCTGCAGCACCTTCCCCACTCTCCATGACCTCTCGAAGATGACAACATTCCAGAATTTTTGTAATTTACCATTTTAGCCTTCTAATCCTAACTCCAATATCACGCATGTCATCTGATAATCCCATTTACATTTCTTTTGCTGTAGAAATACAAACACTTTTTCCTTACTTTCAGGAAAGACATATATTCTCTATTCTTCCTAATGGAACTGACAAAAATATTTGTATATTTCAASTAAGGAAAGAGACATATTTTGCTCTAATCATTATTGCCTAATACTTCAGCTTGATGAGCTAATGATATTGCTCATGARATATGAATTTGTTCTGTAAGAGTTTGAGTGACTGAAAACAGTTGTTAGAAGTATTTTTTCTTTGACGAGATCTTCCTCTGCTATAAATTTATCTGAATGCTTCAAAACTAATTCACCACTTCTTTCTTACAATAAAAATCTTCCATATCAGTTCTTGTGTTAACTTAATCTGCTTGTGAAATACTTTCTTTGATCATTTTTCTTTGCTACTTCAGTACTAGTAATAAAAAGATCTATTTAAATAAATTTCAATCTTTCCAYTTAGTCTTTTGAATTTTACATATATAAGTAAATAAAAAATGTACATTAAGTATGTGCCCTAGAAATTACAAAAACTGAACTTTTTAGAGAAACTATGACTTTTTCATCCACTCATATTTGTATTTAAAAGATTATGAAAGCATTCTTTGGATGAATAAACAAAACAAGTGATTTTACAGGAAAACAGGTATAAAAATATTCTCAGAAAAAAAAAAAAAACACCTTTCTACAGTACTCTTAAAATYGTGGCATTGCTTAAACTACCATGACCATGATAATTTCCTTATGGACAATTTCTTATGACATGCCCAAGAGAAAAAAAAAAGTTAATTCTGTCATAGTAACTGGCACTTTGATTGTATTTGTAAAATATGTCATGTTCTTCCATCAAAAACATATTTGAATGTATTTTCACAACGTTATTATTAGCATGCAAAAAAGTGTATAAATATTTGTATGTGAGCTTTTTTTTTTTCCTCACAAAAGTTGCCTGGATGTAACCTATATTTGATTTACATTTACATGTATTTTAGCATTATTGAAAGATTCTCCACTTACCACTCGAGAATGAATTTCTTTGGCATAAAGAGGGAATAAGAATTCTGACTCCCCTTCTAGACGAAGACCTTCTTTTGTAACACGGAGATGTCCCATGCCTGTCTAGGGAGACATAAGAATTATGTACATTTTAGCATTTTTACTGTATTTATTTTTTGTTCATTTCATGAACTGAATTACTCCAGATCTCCCTATCTTCAGTCTACCTATACAAATATATGCACCAACAAATTTAAAATTTTGGCAATTCCTCATTTATTCCAAGAATATTTTTATCTGAGAAACTGCAGCTTTCAAAAAAAATTAAGTACAGGTATAAATTTTAAAATTTTGAGGAACAAAATACAATATAACACTAATTAACTTAGTGAAGTACATTTGTACTGGTCATGCTTAAATCCTCTTTGTGCATGCTTTCTAAAACTTTGTCACGAGCCATAAAATTTTACATGAGTACACACTTGTTGACCATTTCTCAGGATTTATCCTACCAAATGAACATACTATTTACCGTATGTCAGTTACCATGTAATACTTCATAACATATTAAAGGGAAGAAGAGGAATTTTGATGTGCTCCTCTCTTCARTTCTGACTTTTTAATTCATTTTTTTTTCTTTCCTTCCCTTATTTTTACCTCTTCTACCTCTATGTGAAGGGTCCTTGTCTTACATAACTCTATTGCTTTCTATTTCTGTCACCTGTTGTTGCTTTCTATTTCTGTCACCTGTTGTCAATTTTCTATTTTTCTCATTCAGTCTCTTCCTCCTCATTCTCCTTCCATCCCTTTTATGTTTTATTCTCTACTTTTTTTTTCCTTCTCCATTATCATATAGTTGAAAAATGCAATGACGAATTCGCTCAGCCAGTACACCTGAGGACTTTCAAGCTTCAGCTGTGGGTATTTTGCTTTTTTTTTTTTTCCCCTCCCCCACTACATAACATGTGAGAAAAAACTTGGCAAAAAATATCCCAGCCTTACACCTCAGTTACAGAAAATTCCCAATTACTTACTGGCTCAAGAAATACATGGGAGAAGTAAATAACAAGCAAAACAAAATCCAAAAGCATCTCCACTCCAAATTTCTTCAAACACTTCTCCATGTAAGAAGAGATGTGCAGTCTGTCACTAATGACACACCAGCAATTTATTCATAGAATATGAACTATAACTCTCACTAAGAGAAAGTTTCAGCTTTAAGAAGGTTCAATTATTTTCAGATATTGGATATCGTCTCCARAGAAATCACATATAATGGGATACATCTCTAACCAGACTTCAGTGAAAAGCTTTTACTACTTTTTAAAACAGGATTGCAGAGAAAGAAAGAGAGAATCATATAGATTAAATTATAAAAGGAAGAAATAGTCATGTCAACAGTTCACTCTCCGGGAGACTAGAACTCCTCCTCAGCAGAGGTTTACTTAAGTCTTTTTATTTATGTCTTTTAATAGCTATTTATCTTGTTAGTCAGATAATATTCAGAGATTCATATCTGTTAAATATTCTACTGCTTTGAAACTACTGAAACATACTAGCTTGTTTCAGTGGAATTAGGCAGAATTTTTAAATTCAAGACCATGGCAAAGTTTCTAGATGGTGCCTAGGTAGGTAGTGATGCATCTCATTGTGAAGAACCCCCTTACAGCTTTCATATTCACAACTACCGGGCAACACTGAGTGATTTCTAAATGTTTTTGAAGTAAATAGTAGGACATCATTTTCAAATTTGTAATTGAAAATGGAGATAAAAAACTTTTGAAAAATATCACAAGAAAATTTTGAGATATTTTAAGTACATACCACTAAGATCTGGAGCTCATTAAATTAAGCAAAATTAGGTTTTGATTATCTTCTCTGATCCTATGCCTCTTCCCATCAGTTGACAGAATATTATACAGTCTCTATAATTTCCAGCATTCTTCTGCCAGATTCTAAATACACTAGACTTCACCAGGTTTAAACATGGTTATCACATTTATTTTTTTCCAGGAATACAATGAACTAAACAAACAGTAATTGCAGAATAGATGTAAAAGTGACATAAACAAATCTGAAATATAAAATGACAGTAGTAAAGTAATAGAAGAAGTAAAACTTAATTCTTGCTCTGAAGCATCTCTGGAAAAATAACAAACTCCTGGGTGGTAATCTCTATCTTGCCTTTGGCTTTGCTAGGTAGGAGTTTTTAGCAGAGTGCAAATCTATAACTGATGTTGAAAAAGAAGATTATGAAATTTACTCAGCATGCATTTCTTATTTTTTTCTTCAGAAATAGTTATTCTTGAAATGCCCTGTAGACAACAGAATATCTTTTGCACCAAGAATAATATACCATGTGGCAAAACAGAAAATTTAAGTTTACATATAAATGCTTGTTTTTTCAGTCGTATCACTTAGGATTAGCTTGTACTAAAGTATGTCCCTTCTCCTTCATCAATACAATATTCTTATTCTCACATATCTGACCTAAGAATCTCATCATCCATTCTCATCATCCGACCATTCATGAAGTTCATAAACATATGGAGTTAGACTTGGGTTTCCCACATAAATTAATGACTGGTAGATGAACTTGGTAACAAYAACATGAGAACAAAAAAAATATGAAATTTATTTCTGTTTGTGACCTATATCTAGTTATAATAGTTATTACCATAATATCTGAGTATTACCATAATATCTATTCTTAAATTCTCACCAAATTAGAAATCCAAATTCTCCTAAATTCACCGTTTGGTGTGATGGGTAAATTCTCTTTTTATATGTGACAAACTAAATTACATGAATTGTAGAAGAAAAAGTTTTAKGTTAAATACTCATTCTAAAGAGCAGAGATCCGATGATAAGTTCTAAAAAGRGAACATTTTGATAATTGCATATATCTCTCTGTAACCACTCTGCCTCTTACATTGTAGCGTGCATGGTTTAGGATAAACCAGTTATTATTTACTGAATACTGTCACTTTTTCACTGATGCACAACCTTGATCTTTTCAGTTTCAAGGATTTGTGTCCATTCCTATGCAAAGCATTGRACAAAAATATTTCTATTGATTTSAGAAAAGGATTCAAATYAAAGTTAGACTTAGAATGTGATGCAGTTATATAATAAGGTATTGATTGGGAAGAAGTGGTGCTTCATTAAACATCGTGGATGTATCGTAAATCTGGTCTCCTGCTCCCTGATGCTGGCTCTGCTGGAGCGTGCTGGCCCCTAGCTCTGACACGTTATCGTGTGTAGCACCCTGAGACTCTGTGCTTGCTAATTACTCAGACAAAGTCCTCAGCACAGTTTCTATATTGGATTGACCTGCACAGAAGAGGAGGATGAAATGATTTAGACACTGGGCAGATTTTGATATCGCTGCAAGATGACGGATGTGGGATCTACTGACAAGAGCCAAACCCTGAGGCAGTAATGATGCAGTTTGGCATTAGCATTAGCAAAGGTGCAAGCAGCTGTTCATTTCAAAACTGCTATGCTGTTTCTAATCAGACTAGCAGATATATTTAACAGCAGTAGAAGCTTTTTTTTTTCCTTATTTGAAATGTTCTTAAGGGTGCTAATACTCRTATAACCCAAGAGTAGGGCTTCTTCAATGAATTCAAGCTGTGAGTGGGTTCAAGTCTCATAGAAGCTCACCAAAACACTATTTGAGTCAGGGATCAATTTCTACAGGGCGTTTGCCAGTTTTTCAGCCARTTTTCTAGATAGGAGTATTCCAAACCACCTGATATGAGTAGCAACCACTACTAGAATCTTAGTGAAGACTTGCGCTGCTGTGGAGTATCTGGATGTTGGACTATTTTGGATCATTCTCTTAGACTCAAGAACATTAAATATAAAAATATAATATAAATATGAAAATCATTTTCCTCTGAAATAAGGTTAAACAGTTCCATGATCCACATGCTATATAGTAGAGACGCACAGTATGTCCACAAACTATGGGAGGGTTCTGAAGTCTCTTTCAGGAAAATGCAGAAGACTGAGTCTTTCATCAGCACCAAAAAGTTCCAGAAGTCATCCTGATGGGCCTTGTGGAATGACGTTGTTCCTATGGCCATGAATATTTGTATTCTGGAAAATTGAGAAAGGAGTGGAGAAAGCTAGTTTGACAAGATTGGTGTGGCTAGCACTGAGGGCCCATTCTGTTAAAGCTGAGGATCAAAGAACTTTCCCTCTTTTCTCTGAGAGTGAAATCTGCTGTTCCAGCTCATGACCGAAATAGTCACATGGAAAAAGATACACAGAGATGGGACTACTCAGAGGGGAAAGCGGTAGCTGCAGATCTAGGACTCTTTCATGCCTTTCATACCTCTTTTCCCTGAAGGTATCACTACAGCAGAATCTCATTTGGTTTATGGCTCATGGACTCAAAAGAGCATCAGACGATACATTTGAGATTGCTCTCCTGAGATTTCTAATAATATTGTGGTCTATCTGTTGCAGGCAAATGCCTTAGAAATGAGGATGAGGCATGAGGTATAATCATTTTCTTTCCAAAACAGAAACTGGCACACACGAGGACTAACTTTACTGGCTCAATTGTTCTTGTTCATATATCATAGCATCACTGTCTCTGCATCTTTTCAGTGTGCTAGGCTCAAATGAAGGCCTCCCATTCCTCTAAACAACAGAAATTCAGCATCTGGTCTATCAGCTAAGAACTGCAAAGGAAAATTTCTGTTTTCCCCCCTTTGGAAAGAGATTAAATACTGAAAAGACAGGTAAACCCATATGTTATGATGGTCAACACAGTTACATTTTAAGACCATTCAAGCATTAATACACACTCAATTCAAAGAAAGCAGTTCTTCTCTCAGGAGTTAATTGAATACTTGATTTGTAGTACCTGTTCCCTCGATATTCCAAATTTCCCAACTATTAAGAGTCCATGCTTAATGTAGTTGCTGGTGAAAACTGATAAACTAAAACTTCAGAATAGACRGAATGTGATATTTTCATTCAAGTAATTCCTTTTTGTAGTTATAGGATACTTCTACCTCACTTTTAGGTCAACTCAGGGAAAGACCTTGACAAGTTCAGACTGAGACATCATTTGTTGTGCCCCAAAGGTAGTTCAATTAATGGCTTTA